CTTTTAACTCTCCAGATCAACTCTGCTTACATTTCTTATTTTACTGTTATTTTAGGAAGGAATATATTCTGGATGCCCTTCAAACCATACATTCTGGGTTGTCATTCACTCTGCTTTCTCTCACCTCCCCAACATTGCTTGCTTCCACCACAATTACTCCCACCCTCCCCAATGCTAATAAGACTCTAATCCAGAGTCAGTTGGTAGCACTTTTGGCGCTGAGCCAGAAGGTTTTGGATTCAAGGCCCACGTCGTGACTTAAAACTCGTATTGTCTAAGTTGACACTCCGGTTCAGTGCTGCAGATAGACTGCGTTGTTGGAAGTGCTGTCCTTCAGATGAGATGTTAAACCTGTCTGCTTGTTCAGTTGGACGTTAAAGATCTCATGGCACTATTCGAAAAGAGAAGTGAATTTCTCGCAGGGCTTTGGCCAACAATCCACAAAAAAATTGTTCATTAACTTCATGGCTGTTTTTTGTAGAATATTGGCTGCCGCATTCGCCCACAAAACACACAGTCACTGTGCTTTACAGTATATCCTGTGAAGTGCTTTGGGACGTCCTCCTGACTGAAAGGCATTATACCAAATATGAGAGTGATTGCTATTATTGTTGATAATAATAATAATCCATGGTTTCAGGACATCTAGGGTCAATTCTTTCAAGAGCTGCAGACCACCTAGAGCTCTTTTGCCTGTCTCATCTCAAACATTAAACTCCATGAACCCATTACCTCCATCCTCACTTGGCTCCACTGGTGTCTTTTTGAAAAAAAAAACTGCTTTTCAAATTTTACAAAAATCAGTCAGGACATTCACTGCTGATCATTTGTTCTGTGTTACTCCTAAAAACATGTACTTCTAACAATCCTTGCATTTGTGGATATAGGGTGAGAATAAGATTGGACATGAGTGTCAGGTCGTGAGCTAACATTCACTGTAGCCACAGTTGTGAAGAATAATTGACTGAAAACGTTATTAGCTTTCTTGGAAATGTGCCTTAGCCAGAATCAGCATCTTCAGGAGGCAATTATCGAACAAAAATTCAACAAGTTGGCAAAAAAAACTTCATTAGTGGGTAGCTATTAAGATGATAAAATTGTACAGGGTCCAACCTTACCATACCAAGAAAATCAAGGCTATATTATCAGGTTTGTGACCAGAAATTTGGAGAAGTAAAGGTGAGTGAGAGACTGGGAAAGGGTTAAGGAAATTTGAAGGATCTGATGGAAGTTATGAAAAATGAAGGTACTCTTAAATAAAGTAATTTGAGAATATTTAACTTTATTATTGGGAAAGATGCTTACTAGAAAACTGTTTTTAATTAAGTGCCTTACTGAAATAGAACTGAGGTCAGGAAGCATTATTTTACACACTATTGTGAAGATATGAAATATCGTGCCCCAGAAAGCTGTAATGGCAATTACTAAGGATGTTTAAAAGACAGATGGACAGATACCTAGATAGTAGAGGTGTTTGTGGCTATGATAAAATGCCAGAGATTGGGAATAAGAAATCTACTAAAATCTCAGAAATCAGTGAAAGACTTGATGAGTAGATTGACCTCCTCCTTATCTAGAAGATGCTCATTGTTGGAAGTGCCAATTGAGCAGGGTTTGGAATCTGCTTCCCCAATGATAACAGACCCAGTAACATGAGGTCAAGTCTAAGGGAAAGTGAATCCTACTGTTTGTTGGTGGCTTTCAGGGACTCTTATCAGAAGGGTTTGAGCTGAGAAAACAGTATAGAATATGTGCAGTACTGTGACTGTTTGTGGCGAATGCTAACAAAACATTGACCAAAGATTCTAGGACGGTTGTTCAGATCTGGAATGCATTGCCTGAAAGGGTGGTGAAAGCTGATTCGATAACAACTTTTAAGAGAGAAGATAATTATTTGGGGAGGTTAAATTTGCAGGATTACGGGGAGAGCGCGGAGGAGTGGGATTGAATTGGATAGCTCTTTTCAAAGAGGCGGCACAAACACGATGGGCTGAATGACCTCCTTCTGTGCTGTTCAATTCTATGACTGCCCTACCGCACATTCAATATTAATCCTTTCACAAGTACTGATTGCTTGTTTTTAAACCAATTTCTTATATAGTTATGTGTTCTACCCTTCAGTGGCTTTTACTGAATTAACAGCATCACAGGGAACCTTATTGAAATGCTTCTGAAACCACTTTATAAATCATACGAAAATCCATCATCTTTTATAATTCCAAGAAGCAGCAAAAAAAAACAGTTACTGAATATGGATTATTTCATTATTTGCTTGCCTTGGCATGACTTCACTGGAAGTAAAGGTTTCCATTTGAATACCATATGTCTCTTGAATTTGCCAACATAGTGCTAAATTGTAGACATTTTTGTTATAGATCCATATGTTAGGCTTATTTGATACTAGCAGAAAATTTAAAATAATATTTTTCAGCTAAGAGAAAACATTTTTATTGCATTAATCTGGTCTGAATTTAAACACCTTTCTTTGAAATAAAAGAGACATACCAACTGGACCCCATAGATTCTGAAACTAAAAGCCCAGCTAGTATTACCTGGAACCTAAAGACATGTATGTGACTACTAAATTAGATGGCTTTGATTATTATCGTTATCATAACATTGATATATGGTATTCCCGAATGCTTGGAAGACAACAGTTTAATTTCCCACAACCAAAATCTTTTTTACAGGATTGAGCAACCAAATGAGCTTTAATGTTAAATTAGAGGTAACCAGTGTTGGTTGTCATGTACAATGAGCAGTTGGCACTAAACTGCAACGTTGGCAATTTCAATATTTTTTTGCCAAATTAGATGATTTCAGTTATTTCATCCACAAAATACATATTCAGTCCACTTTAGATTATATTCTATGAAGTGCTTTGAGATGTCAACAACGTGATAAGGCTCTATATCAAATGAAAGGATTATTATTTATTGTCTCAGATTACATTTAATAGCACAAGATTTGTGAATTAGATTGGATATTTAAACAGACCACTCCACTATCTCCCTTTCAGTGGGTTAATCCTTTGAGGATTCACTGAAGAAACCTTCAGTGCCTTGTTGCAACTTCAGGAATTGCATGAAATTAGAATTCTGGAGTTGAGTTTTAGGAAAGGTCCACTAAATATGCAGCATTTATCTAGAGTTTGTACCATCCACTAGTAAAATTGTTTATTTGACATAAATTGTTCTTTCTAAGAATGTACAGTAAACTCCTGGTGATAAGACACCGACTTCAATAGTCGCACAGCTTAAATCACTAAGCTAGCAATATCTCTGCTGCTTTCTGTGCAAAATGTGATGAAGGGACTCTACTTTATTCATCACGCCACTTAAAATGTAAGTAGTTACATTCTAGAAATTCCCATAATTAAAACAGATTGGATAAATTGCTGGAACTCAAAGCAAACTAGTCTGTACTGCGGGAAAATATCACTGATCCTGAAGCAAACTCACGATGAGCGGCCTGGCGCAGGGAGATGTGGCTGAGTCATTCAGCCAGCCGCTAAGGATTAATGCTCCCAAGTTGTATATGCTTAAAAGGAACACAGTTTTGAAATCTTTAAGCAAACATATTAAAAACACTTACTAGAATGGACAGAACAAAATAAATGGAAGTGATTATTATTCTCATGGTCATACTAGCTCGCTGGAGAAAAACATCTTCAGATTGCCTTATTGGCTTAGCCTTAGAGAGTAGATTGCAAGCCAGTACAATAAATACTGAGTCAGTTGAAACTTTCTGAAGGAAACTCAACAGAGAATTAAGGGATGTGTGTTTAGGATATGAAAATACAGCAACAGAAATAAGCAATAGAAAATAAGCACATTTATAGACCTGTGGAGTCCTGTAGCTCAGTGGTTAGAGCACTCGCTTTGCAAGCGAGAGACCTGAGTTCAATTCCAGGCAGGATGAAACCTTGGGCAAGTTTCCTTACTCCACACAGAGCCTAATAATAATCCCTCCAAAAGCAAAAACAATAATAAATTGGTCATTTTCAATGTATGACTGTTTGTGGGACATTGCTGTGCGCAATTGGCTGTCGCGTTCGCCCACAAATATACAGTCAATTCACTTTACGATATATTCTGTGAAGCGCTTTGGGACGTCTAGAAGACGTGAAAAGCGCTATATCAAATGCAAGGATTATTATTATTATATGCCTGTACATAAACATACTGTACTTAAATGAGTTTTCACAAATAAACTGACAGTCTTGGAGCCGGAATTGCTCTGTCACACTGACAACTCTCTCTGCACAGGTAGAATTTTGGGGTGGGCCACAGCACCCCCTTGGGGACCCTGGACCACAAGGACCCTACCCCACCCCTCCCCCATGCTTGGATTCTGACCCCTGACTGTCCAGCGCCTTGGGACGTCCTCCCGATATGAAAGGCGCTTTATAAATGTAATTTTGTTGTTGTGGAAGACTTGTGCTTAAATAGTCACTTCAGATAAATGGTTGCTGAGCTGTTTTCACTTGGAGTGATGATTTATCAGGAGCTTATTGTATTTCATAATGTATATGATCAAATATAGATAATTAGTATAAATAGTTGTCTTTTTTGCATCACCCTGTTTTTAGTTTTCACTGGGGTCTGTTTGTTGAGTTGTGTGAACCATGTATACAGAGAGAATAGTTGTTTTGCCAACAACTGATGAGACTACAGTAGATTCTGTAAAGCCTCATTGATTGTAAACCTGTTCATTGGTGTTAATTGCATAATTCACTTTACATGTGTAGGAGTCGCATAATAAACTGAAATAATTACATTTTTAAAAATCACTCTTAATATTTGAAGTTTGTCTTTTAATTTTATAACTTTATAGTTATAACATTGGATTTTTTTAAAGAAAATGTACATGAATAGTATGGGTTTGCCTGCAGTGTCTGGGTAAAATCACTTGGTATTTTTAGATTTTAGCATTTAAGGGGTAATATTTCTCACATTTTGAAAGGGAACGACTATATGGGTATACGTTTTGTATTTCAGGGGAGAATACACATTGCAAGTTAAAGCCTTCATTAATAAAAGTACATTGGATGGTCCGGTATTCAGATTGAATATAGTACCAGATCCTGAGAAACCTGTCAGCTTGCTTGTAGACTACGACAAAAATGCAACTTTTGTTGCTGGTGGAATTTTAACAGGTATGCAAAACATTCTCATTTATAAAAGGTACAGTAGACCTCAGGATGATATACTTTGGTCAGCCAAAATAACGCTTGCAGAAATCCAGCGCCATTAAGTATTTATACTATTAAATAATTTTATGTGACGAAAATACAGACTAGAAGATGATATTGCCCACTTTAAACCAAATCTAATCCAGATTATTAATGTGAATAACCATTATTGTATCTACATTCTGAGTTTAAGTAGTGTAACAGCTGTAATCTGCTTCAACCCTAATTGGGTATGCACATGACATTGTCTAAATTCGTTTTTCGTATAAAAATATATTTTTGTTGAGTGAATTACTAAATATTTTTACTTTACTTTTTAGTTTGTATAGTCTATTCAGCTATATTTATTATTGTATAGCCTTTTAAGATGTCGTAATTGTATTTTGTCTCTACCCATTCAATTTCCGAGGCTCTCCAAAACAGTGTAAGGCAGCAATAAACGAAGCAAATGGGATGTTGGCTTGTATTGCCAATCAGATCACATCAAAGGCTCAATAGTCATACTTAAAGTGTATAGTTCTCTGGTCAGGCTGTATCTACAGTGCTCGATACAGTCCTGATTGCTGTGACACAGGCCATATTAGGCCCTAAAGGGAGTGCACACGGTTGCAAAGGGAAATTTCAAGATGGATACCAGGAAGTATTTCTTTACCTGGTAGGTAATTAACATTTTAAATAGTTTACCAGAAAGGGTGATTGGGTCCAGGACATCAAACTCATTTTTTAAAAAAAAAACAGTTTGGTAACGTAGTGGGAGAATAGAAGAGTTGAGTATTCTGGAAGAAAGATCAAATACGTCAAAGAGCCTTCTTAATCCGAACCTCTCGTGATCACATTGATGGCTTTTAGAAAGTGGATAAGAAACATATACATGGATGATGAGTAAAGTAGATGTGTGCATCTGTTCTCAACCATGCATAAGGTAATGAATAATGTTATCCAGATTGTACATATGGGATCCAAACTGGAACCCATAAAGAATACAAAATAATGATTACAAAACAAAGTTAGATAGATGTGTATAGTTTGTAAAATGCCTTCAATTTTGTCCAGTTCTTTGGTCTCCAGTATACTATAGTGGATGAAGAAAAGATGGGCTGCACATGTACACTGCATAAGGATAGTGTGTACTGGTAGTTCATGTTTTATTCCCTTTTCCCAAGTATACTTGTGAGAGTGGTAGTTTTCATAGTTTAATTAATACAAGTGACATATATGTATGTGACTTCAATTTTTTTTAAAGTTGTGCAACTTTTGTGTTTTTATTTTGTTTGAATACATTTTAAATATTTATAATTCATTTAACCGATGGAGATGTTTAACCTGAAAGGAAGAGCAATGTTTTAATTACCCTTTAATTGTGCTCCTGTATCTTTACATTCTGAGTTTAAGTAGTGTAACAGCTGTAATCTGCTTCAACCCGAATTGGGTATGCAAATGACATTGTCTAAATTTGTTTTTCTTATAATAGTATATTTTGGTCCTAGTGTCAATTCTATATTCTGATGCTTTCAATACTTTAATGTAATTTAATGTAGGATTGAATTATTTGTAAATGAATGGAACGCAGAGAGCGTCTCCTTGACAGATATTGCTGTATTTTCACAATTCTGATCTAGCTAGTCACAGTGAACCCTTTTAAGGTTGTTACTCATGAGAAATGTAGCAATGTCATATCACTGATTTTTTTTCATGGCTTCCAAAATACATTTTTTTAAAGAGAATATGAGTCCAAATACACTCATTGGTCATGAGTAACAACCTCAAAAGTTAAAACATAGAACATTACTTTCTGCAAATAAATATCCACCTAATAATGGAAGGGGCATGCTTGGTAGATTGAACAGAAAAAGTGCATGTGCCTCCTTAAGGTCAGTAACAATAAAATAATCCTTGCATTTGATATAGCGCTTTTCACGTCTTCTCGACGTCTCAGAACGCTTCACAGAATAGACTGTGAAGTCAATTGACTGTATATTTGTGGGCGAAACACGGCAGCCAATTGCACACAGCAGTGTCCCACAAGCAGTCTGGATTGAAAATGACCAATTTATTATTGTTTTGTTTTTTGGAGGGATTATTATTAGGCGTGTGGAGTAAGGAAACTTGCCCAAGGTTACGGTGGAGTCGTACAAAAATGCCACTAAAAGAAACAAAATACTTATTATTTAAGCTTATTAAACTGCCAAGTATAACTCACATTTTTTGCATAATATTGTTCACATACTTTACTAAAATTTGTTTGAAGAATGAGACCACTGTTTATTACACTCTTGTTCTGTTGTTTTCTAGAATTTGTGGTTAGTGTTGTTTCTGAAGATGATACTGTCATGAGGACCATCAGTCCAGCAGGACTTACCATGAGAATGTGGAGGGGACAGAGCTCCACTCAAAGACCTCCTGCCAATGTAAGTAGAAAGAACCTCACTGCTGCTGTAGTAATGCGCATTAAAGTAGTCGGTTCTGACAGTCACCCTTCACTGACAAGCATGACTAGTATTTTGAAAAGGTAAGGTCTTTGGATGTCACTGCAATCCAAAGATATTCCATTTTATGCACAATATAAGTCAAATTCGTTCTTGCCTTTGATATATATGAGCAGAATATGCTGCTTCAGTATGTTGATGGAAACTGAGTAACAAGATATCTGATGAGGAAGATGTGCAGTTGATTTGCAGTCAACAATGAATTCTGCGGTGCTGAATATTGAATAAAACTCATTCTGTGTCCTGGGGTCTCTGTATGTCTAGAGGGAGAAGGTTTAAGAAGACTGCGTATTTAGATGATCAACTGTCTAGATCAGCCACTCAGGAAAAATATATGAGTTATCCGACAAAACTTGACAGTGGGCCTATTGCTTAAACGTGGAATATCTCAGGAAAAATCTTTATGAATGTTGCTTAATAGATATCAGATTCAGACTTTCGGAAGTAATTATTCTACCAATGGAACCCCTTACTGGCAAAAGGTTCTATTCTCATAAGGCTTCAATAATTTCAGCCAAAATTTACTTCAGAACTTGATGTTGATCGAGGCAGCCTTCTTTATTCTCCTTGTTCTTAAATTATATATAATGTCCTTATAACTGAGTATTTAGGCACAGTGGCTGATGGCTCGGCCGCCGAAGATTAATCTGAGATCTTTAGAGCTAAACCAATACTGTACAACAGTACCTCATGTGAAGAATTATCCAGCCCTGCAACATTTCCTTGTCTGACTTAATCAGCCTCTCTCACTGACTCACTGAGCCAGTTCTCAACCTTGCCATTTGGTTCAACCTTCGGCTCTCCTTTTGCCCTCACATTTAGTCTTGATCAAGATCTCTTGATAAACTTTGCAACATCGCCCACTTGTGTCCCTATCTCATTCCACTACTTCCAAAACTTTCATTCTCGTCTTTGTTATGCCCGGACTCAACTTCTCAAACACTTTCCTTTGTTGGCCTCCCCAGCTCTTCCATCCCACAAGTTCCAGTTTATCCAAAAATCTGCTGCCCACTTACTTGCTTATCTGCATGAACCTTCACATGTTCATCACTCCCATTCTCTCCAGCCTTCACTCTTCCATGGAACATCTTCAAGAAGCTTACTCACCTACAAAATACCTGTGCACCCTCCTGCCTGCCTCTGCGATCTTCTCCAGTCTCTCTCCTGCATGTGACATGTACTATGCCCCAGCATCGGCCTCTATGGTCCCAGTTTCTGGAACTCCTGCCTCAACCCCTTTCTTGCCCATCTCTATCTTCACACATTGTCTGTGATTAATTCCCCCCTCCCCCACCCCACCATTCTCTACTCAGTCTCTAAAATGCTCCAAAATGTTACACTATATTGACACTATATAAACGGAATTAAACGGAAATTAAATGAATGGGGAAACTGCAAGATATTTAAATGCATCATTCGAGACAAGTTATGTTAACTGCTGCTGGCTCTGGTTTCTGTACAATGTTTGGCTGTAATCCTGCAGTTTGCAGAAATATGACAATCTCTTCTGAATATCCACAAAATGTTACTTTAGTGGAGCAACTGTTCCATGAGATTCGGAACCTAGTAATGCTGAAGATGCCTTGTAAGTTGTTCTTCTGAGATTTTCTATGCAGTATTTTCTTTAAATTATATTTAATTCAACCTAAGAGAATAGTAGTTTGGAAAAGTTCAGCATTTGTGGAATTTCTGTACAAATTCCTCACGCTCTCTCTCTCCAACCTGCTCACACCCTACTCTTCTACCCATCCCCTTCTCTCAGACCTTTTGCATTTCCCCTGACTGTTCCAATCCACGTTCGGCAGCCGTGCCTTCAGCTACTACACTCTGAACCTCTTGAACTCTATGCCTCAATCCCTCTACCTTTCCTTCTCTTTATCCATCTTTAAATTACACGTGAAGACTTTCCTGTTCGACCTTGCCTATGGTCATCTCCCCTTTGTCCTGGCTCGGTGTCACATTCTGCCATTGTTCAGTCCTACACCACGTGATGATTGTAATGTTAATGCAAGTTGTTAATTTTCATGTTGTAAAATGGGAAATGTTTATTTTTAATCGGTTTTGAAGAAGTGTTGATTTGGAATCATTATAGTCTGAATTCACATGGTATCAAATATTAATCCTTAACAATGTAATTCTTACTTCATGTGAAATTCTACCAAAATGGAATTGTTTGTCCTTAGCCTCTCTTTGGCTTTTCTCAGGCCACTGTTCTGAACCGCAGCAAGAGCCGGGAGAGTGACAAAGAGGACTGCGTTTATTTCAGGTATTCATAATTCAATTTTGATTCGTCGTGACCTTGATGACTAGAAATTATTAAATATCGTTTTGTTGTAATTTTGAAACTGAATTGCTGACAAGTTATGCTATAAACACTTGGCACGGACTAGTTGAGCTACATTGCCCCTTTTCCTGCTGTGACATTGTATTGTTGGGGTTAGATTGTACGTGATGTTAACACACAGGGCACAGCTGTGTCAGACTAAGTTCAGTCAGAAGTACTACAATACTGTTAATGAGAACAAATAAAGTGACCATTTGGGTAATTATGCCATTAGTGTAAGTTTGAGATAATGATAGCCTATATAAAAGTTGATGATCATTGTTTTATCTGAAACTGACCTATACAGGTACATCGTTCATCTCTACTGAATTACCTGACCAGCTGGTTGAGTATGGGGTGCTATCATTTTCCATCAGTAATTTATGTAGGGGGTAGAAATTAGCATGGCTCCTGACTGCTACCCAATGATTCCCCCCTTTCTTGGAATGTGGCCACTGAACAAGGCCAAAATTAGGCTTGGCTTTAATACCAGCCAAGGTTAAATAGTCAGTTAATGTGCTCACTGTCGAGTCTCGCACAAGAAGAATAGTTACTTTGAACATGAGAATTTCTGATCTTCGTGGTTTAGTGCTGCACTTTATTAGGACTCAAAGGAGCAAGAACTTAAAGAATTTAAATGGGGGAATCTTGTACACTAAGGCTGACATTTTTTNAATTGCTCCAATATGCCCAATGGAATAAGTACAATAACAAAACTTGCAATTATATAGCGCCCTCGACGCAGGGAAGCGTTTCAGAGCGCTTAACAGTAGCAGAGCCTGACTAAGCCAGGTGGGGGAGAGAGGGGGCAAGGCAGAGGGAGAGTGTTCCACAGTTTCAGGCGTAGTGGCTGAAAGCGCGACCTCCAATGGTGGAGTGGCAGGGTGCCAGGAACAAGCAGGAGGCCGGTGCCAGTCGAGCGGAAGCGGTGGATTGGGGAGTAAGGAAGTCGGAGAGTTGCCAGGGAGTGAACGGATTTGAACACAAGTGTGAGGATCTTGAAGTCATTCCCAAATAGTGGATTGAAAGCAGTGTAACTGCACTGAGATGCATATGACCTAATAGGGCTGGAACAATGGAGGTCTCTGAGGGTTCAAGAACTAATGATTTATAATTAAGTTTAAATGCTTTTGGGGGGGAATGGGGGTGAAACCTCAGAAAGGGGATATAATCCCTCTGCCATTTCCTGCCTTCTTTCACCCAAGGGGAATATCTGTATAAAATTAGCACATATTCTATTGTTTGCCTTTTTAATGGATTAATTTAAACTACTAGTTACTGTTTTTTAATTAATTGTTCATAGCCTCTTATTACAAAGGCCTTGGCCAGTTGTTTAAATCAAGTGGACTTCTTCACTGTATTCTTCAATATAGTGATCATATTAGCTTTAAACAATGTTTTTAAACATTGCTACAGGAGAACAAACCAAATGTCAACAGTTGTTTTTTAAAAAATACGGTACTTCTTGATCACCATATTTCCAAACCTGCTTTCCATAATTCTGTGCATATTTCCATGGACATGTATCCATATGATGTTGTGGGAGAGTATCTGTTGAATCTATATGACTAAACTGATTCTTAGCTTCTCTGACGAACCCAGAAACCAACTACATTTAAATGTGTCCCAAAATGTTAGTGTTTCAAAATTACCTATCATTTAAAAATAAAAAATACTATATTGATGCCACATTGTAAGGAAAATTTGAAACTCATGCCTATATTTATGCAGCTATGAAAATTGTTCAAATTCTACAAATGCTAACTGTACCTTTACAGGGAAAAAATCATTCCAGAACGGACAGGCTTGTACTCCATTCAGTTTACATACTCACAAGAGAAGTTACTCTACAGTCAGCAGGTATGTATTTTGCTTTTATATTGCAAATCCTTTGAAGGATTCAATGAAGGTGTTCAGTGGACCTGCTGCTCGGACAGCTGTGTCGAGCTTTGAGACGTCCCAATGAGAAAGGCATATAAATCTAAATTGTATTGTAGTAAACCTGATGTATGTTCTGAGCAATCTCATCCTCTCTTTGCTGTCGTGGAAACTAGACAATCAAACAAATCTCCCATAACACAATGGAACCAAAAATATTACAGCACCCAAGTTTGTTATGAAAGATAGTATTTGCAACAGTAATATAGTAGTAATAAATTGCTAGGAATCCAGTATATTATTACTTTGCATCTAAAGAGGAGTCCTGTAGCTCAGTGGTTAGAGCACTCGCTTTGCAAGTGAGAGACCTGAGTCCAATTCCAGGCAGGGCGAAACCTTGGGCAAGTTTCCTTACTCCACACGCCTAATAATAATCCCTCCAAAAAACAAAAACAATAATAAATTGGTCATTTTCAATCTACGACTGTTTGTGGGACATTGCTGTGCGCAATTGGCTGCCGCGTTCGCCCACAAATATACAGTCAATTCACTTTACAGTCTATTCTGTGAAGCGCTTTGGGACGTCCTCCCGACGTGAAAAGCGCTATATCAAATGCAAGGATTATTATATTATAAAGATAATTGGAGCCCTCACATTTTGAGCTATGTGTTACACAATACTACTTTAATGGTTTATGGTTTATTTTAATTGTTTGTTCAAAACAGTATAAAGCAGTCATTCAAACCAGGAAAGCCCCCAGACTGTTAGGTTAGCCAATCTCAGGCAGCATTCAGAGGTAGTAAGTTGACCTCAAGACTTCTAGCAGGAATTGTGACAGTATTTTCCCTTCTCAGCAATTCTATTTTAATTTTAGTCCTGCACTACATAATTATTGTACACCAACATTTTATTTTGTGGTAATCATATTTTCTCTTATACATTACTGTACTTAGCTAGTTACCTAAGGTGATACATTTGCATTGATTTTCACTTCTAAACAATACTGGTAGTAATGTGTTGCGTATGAAGCAGTCCTCCAGTTAATTTTTTTTTACATCTTGCTATTTGTGGGACATTGCTATGTGCAAATTGGCTGCCTTGATCGCCTATGAATACCCAGTCACTATACTAAGAATTTCACTGTAGTGCTTTGAGTCATTTTTATGTGATTTGATTAATTCAGAGCCAAGTATTGTTATCAAAGTGAACCATCTTCAATAGCAGATTTTTTACTTTTATTGTATATATTGCTGCCACCACATGCCACAAGATGTTTGGGGAATTTATCACTACCACAGGATCAGCCCATTATTGATCAACCTTTCAATATAAAGGAAAGTAAAATAATTAGATTTATTTATTTTTCACCATTCTAAATTTGAACTTCGTACAAGGCAAGGAACTGTAGTTCCCAGAATGTAAACTAGTTATTTTGAAAATCGCAGCACCAATAAATATGTAGCAGAAATGTGAGGGAAATGCATTGACTTCACGGATATTTGGGTTCTTCCCTCATCCCCCATTTGAAAGACAGTTAATCTTGCTCAAGTACTAGTGGCCACTATCTTGCCCAAGCAGCCATTATTTTTGGAAGCTTAGGCTGTGCAAATATTACTATCAAACCTAACTGTCTCGTCACCCAACTTTCATTTGTGTATTTAACAGCAGAGGCCATCAAAGCAGTGAATCTTGTCTCATTGTTTTGTCTCCCTTCCCAAATCTGGAACATTAGCTAATTTTCACACCCTTGATAATGCTGTTCTGCCTCTGATTGATTAATTTGTACAGGGCATGGATAAAGCTAAGAGCATCCTCATGTGCACAGCTCAGTGTCTCACCAAGTGTTGCAGCCAACTATTATCTTCACGTAGATTATGTTTAGGAGGGCACGTCTCTAATAGCTACTGAGGTATTGTCTGTAAGTATTAATGTGTCTGACTGATACATAATAATCCTTGCGTCTTTTACGTGGGCAGGATTTCTCAAAGCACTTCATAGGATTTACAACACCTGGATTTTCTGAAATATTGTGTTGATTTAATTATAAATTAGTCTGACCACAGATGTTCATTTTATTTCAATACAGTTTCTGAATCATGTATATAAGTAATAAATGTTTGTTTATTTTGTTGTTAAATTCTAGATTGTTTTCAGTGTGATACCAGGTGAACCAGTGAAATTAATGCCAGAGGCACAGCCAGCCACTCCTGTGGTTTCAAATGTCCGCAGTGTCACCAATCGTACTTTGGTTAAGAATTTGTGCCTAAAGATCATGGTAATTCTTATTTTTATGCAAACCAATATATGTTGCCAATTCATTTTAATTTATGTTGTGTTAGTGAAATAACTATTTAAACAGTAACCTTTTTCAAACTGGCAGTAACTGGAAGTTTGTGGTTGGCTGTTAAATATGCAATCAATAGCTTTTACAGATTGATGTAACTCGGAATCAAGTAGTTGAAGTTGGCCAGTGGAGGCCGAGAGGTTTAGAAATTGTGTTTAAAAAAAGAAGAATGTGTTAATTCTACATGTGTTATATCTGCCAGAAGTGTAGAAATATTTCTTCCTCGAGTTTCATTTTAAGAGTACTTATCCTATAATCCCTACATGGCATTGTGACAGGCGATTAGTTTTAAACATTAGAATTAAATTTAATTGGGAAATGAAGACAACTTTGCCCTTTTTAATTTTACTTGGATGAGTTGTCGTATTTGGTCAAAAGATAGAAGTTAGGCTTGATTAATCCTAGTTACATAGGATCATACGGGAGTCAGAAAAGACTGCTATGTTGCATCTGACCAGCCCATCATACCTGTGGACCATACACCTGACTTCCTATGCTGACGAGCCACCTTCCTGTGTTTAACAGACTGTCAACTTTCCAGGTCATCAGGTTGCCCCTGTCACTTCTGTGCAGAGGAAGGCACTGCATCATTTCCTGTGACTGCATTCTTTGAATAAGGAGCATACCTCGTGTCACTTTGAAAGAAATGACATCGTTGGTACTTCTTCTACATATTGTGAATGGGAGCAACAAGCAAGATTTGTTGTAATGGATTTACTCTATAAAGGAATCAAACTGTCTGTTCACATTCCCTCTTCTGAACTGAGTTTTGCATTAGTTTACATTTTTGTGAGCGTAAAATTTACTTGAGTTCAGTTTATGTCCTCTTGTATCTTGAATACTTCAATAAGATCTGCCCTGAATCTTTTTTTCCTCTTGCTCAGATTAGTTTTACACCAATGTATTTGCAAGCTGCTCATCTAGTAAATAATTTTATGATCTTAACATCACCAATTGAACAAAATCAGGATGATTTATTAAAAAAAACTTAAAATTTGAGCTGTGTTCGTAGATTAGAAAACATTTTGTTACCAAATAAATGTGAACTGGTCAATCCACTATGCCTTCGATTTCAGATACCCTTATTTTGGTAAACTATTATCACTTCCTTTTTTAAAAAAAATTAGGATTAATTTAAACCAAATCTTTTATCTTGTGGATCTGCTATGAAAATACAGTAGTTTTAGTTCAGAAACCTTAGGGTAGCATATGACACTCTGATTTAAATGCAGGAACTCTAAAATTGTACATAATTGACCCTTTTTTCTACACTATGTTTATACATAGTTTTATCTATTGCACAAAAAATACACATGAAGTGGCAGGAATTATCTATGAGAAGTAAGATAGCCATTACATGCTTTGTTATCAATGGATGCCCTAAAGCAATTGAATAATTTCATGGTACTTAAATGTCTTCCTGTCTTGTTAAAGGCTGTGAGTTCACAACCTTTATCTTACTGTTCATCACAGCCAACACTCCATTGTAGATTTGTTTCTAGAATCCAGATTTGTTCAGGAGAGGGGAAGGGAGGTGGGCATGTTATTGGATGGAAGGTCAAATAGAAAGCCTGAAGGCAAAAGAGAGGAAAATAATCAAATCAGGATAAGGAAGGACTGACTAAAACTAAAGTAAAAGCTAATTCACTAGAATATTATGTATGAGCTATTATAAATGAAAATATATTATTCAGAGTTGTTTTTTAAAAGGGCCTGGTGTCATATATATTGGAAACCGATCTCAATGCTTAAGACTATCTAAACCAGACTGACTTTCACACACACCACACTATACACACTACATATATATATATACATACATATACATATAATATAAATGGAATACGCATTCTTCCAAAGGGATGCACTCTGCTTACCCAATTCTAAATAGTATTGGGCACAGGTTGGAGAGAGCCAAAGCTTGAGGACCCCAGAGTACATGTCTGGGTACTGCTGAAGTTTAACCAGCTAAAACAGCATAGCTTTCCATTGTGAGCACTGACAGGCAAGCTTTCTGCTGCTTGTCCAGCAAGGACCACCCTAGGTGAAAATATTTTAATAGTAGGAGAAAAAATTAACAATCAATGGGAAAAAACTTAGAAAGTGGATAAGTGGCATTTCACTGTACTTTGAGACCTGAATTATTTCTAATAAAATTGCATACACTTTTGGTGCTTTTTTGCTTTATTATGTATTTAATTCCATTCCTGAACCTTAAGAATCTTACCAGCGCCTTTAGTTTATTTCCTCCTCCCTCAAAATCTTGAACCTTTCCAAATAGAATTGTCACTCAATTTTTATTAATTTACATAACTGCATAGACTATCATTTGCCTTTATAAGATATGTCTGGGAAAGTAATGCTTAGGTTTGTTAATTATTTTCTTTTTGTCCTTTGAAATTAGGATGCATATAACAATGCGGCTGGTGAGAATCTTGATGGCAAGGTGTTAGCTACAATTAAAAATGCCAGTGAAGATGATGGTGAGATTCCTCAGTTTCAGGGAAAAGTCAACTTTCTGGAGTTTGAACTCAAGCAAGGTTCTTCTTCTGTTTCAGTAAGTTTAAATTGAGCATTTAAAATCCAATTGTAGAACGTGGAAAAAAGTTTCATGAGTGATGGTATTTATAATGGTTGATTTATAGATTCTATGGTGTGGGTTTTTGTACTTCTTTCCCCTCTAAGTTTCGAACCGGCTAGGTAGAGGGGGCGGGAGTTGGCCGTAAGCACGGTCGAAGAGGAAAGTTTTCAGGCAGGACTTGAAAAAGGGGAAAGGGGGCAAGGCAGAGGGATTGAGTGAGATTGTTCCAGAGTTTTAGGGCGTAGTGGCTGAAAGTGCGATCTCCGATGATGGAGCGGTAGGTGCGAAGTATGAGCAGGAGGCCGGTGCCAATCAAGCAGAGGCGTCGCCGGGTGGTGGATTGGGGAGTGAGAAGGTCGGAGAGATAGGAAGGTCCCTGGGAGTGAATGAATTTGAACATGAGGATTTGAAGTTAATCCATTCAGTGATGGGGAGCCAGTGGAACCTGGCCAAAACTGGTGAGATGTGGGTGCATCTAGTTGAATGAGCTGGATCCTTTGAGTGGTGGAGACCAGCGAGAAGTGCGTTTGAGTAATCCAAGCGGGAGATGACAAATGCATGCACGAGGGGTAAGGTGTGGTCAGACACAGGCAATATGGAGGAGGTGGAAGAAGGTGGTCCTAATCGGGCACCAGATGTGAGGGAGGAAGAACAGCTGGGGGTCGAACTGGATGCCTAGATTGCTCACTGGTTCGGTGAGTCTGAGAGCAAGCCCAGGGAGGTTGAGTTTAGATCCACAGGAGTGAAGGTGTTAACAGGAGCCAAGGAGTATGGCTTCCATCTTGTCCACGTTCATCTGCAGGAAGTTTACACTCATCCAGGCCCTGATGTCTGCCAGACAAGCTGATAGAACATTGGCGGACCTGAAGTTGGTACTGGGAGGAGGCAAAGTAGATTTGTGTGTCATCCGCATACATGTGGACCCCTGGGGTATCCTGCAGATGACAGAGCGGGAGGAGAAACCATTGGCTGAGATGAAAAGGAGGCGGTTAGTTAAGTAGGACTCGAAACATGCAAGTGCGGTCCCACTAAGGTAGATGAGGGAGGAGATGCGGTGGAGGAGGATGGCATGGTCGACTGAGTCGAACGCGGCAGAAGGATCCAGGAGGACGAGGAGGTAGATGGAGCCCTTATCACAGATAGAGAAAATGTCATTTGTGACTTTGACAAGTCTCTGCTGTAGCAGAGTGAAAATCAGGCTGCAGGGGCTCATGGAGGGAGAGGCATGACTGAAGTTGGTCTGCAGCAATGTGTTCCAAGAGATTAGAGAGTTCGAGGGTGGGTTTTTTCAGGAGGGGTGTGGTAACAGCGATTTTCAGGGGGAGTGGAACAGAGCCTGAGGAGAGAGACTGGTTGACTGTCGGCCAGCAGGGGGAGAGAAGGAGGAGTTGAGTGACCAGCAGCTGGGTGGGGAGAGGGTCAAGGCACAGGTGGTAAACTTCATGGGATGATTGTGGTTGAGAGGGAGGAGGGAGAAATGAGGACACGGGAGCGTAAGGAGTGCGAAGTGGCAGGAGCTGTGGCAGAGGGAGAAGGCGGTGTGGATGGTCTGGGTGGGGTATAAAGGGACATGGGGTTGGGGACGGGAGGATGATGCAGCCAAGCAGATATTTTCAATTTTTGAGGCAGTCTAGGACCTCTTCGCAATTGGCGTTTGATGTGAGGATAGAGGGGGCTTGAGGGGGTGCATGGTGGAGGTAATGGACGGTGGAAAACAGTGTGTTTGGATTGTTGTTTGCCTCCAGGATAATTTTGGAGTAAAAGGCAGTTTTGACATGTGAAAGGGAGAGGCGGTAGGTGTGGAGGTGCTCGAGCCACAGCTGGCAGTGAATCGTGAGGCTAGATTTCTGCCATCTGCGCTCGATCGTACAGGTTTGTATTTTGAGTGAGTGGAGATGACTGTTGTACCAAGGGGGAGTGAGTGGGCTTGGAAACAACCCTGGATTTCAGAGGAGCCGGGAATTGAAGTTGTGGAGAGACGGTCATTCAGCAGGGTGCATCAGGATTGCTGCGGGTGGAGGGTCAAAGAGAGAGGAGGTCCAAAGAAGAGAGGACATTTGTGAGGGAATCGGAGAAGCTTTTCCCAGGGGCAGAAAAAAATGGTGGAGGGCTTGGAAGAGGCGAGGGGTAAAAGAGATGGGTCTGAGATGGCCTTGTCCGACGGGTCGAAAATGTCAAAGCCATGTGTGATGACAAGGTCGAGGGAGTGGCCACAGTTGTGGGTCAGCATGTTGATGTGGAGGGTAAGGTTTAGGAGAGGAGGGCAGTGAAATCCGAGGAGGTGGTACAAGGGGAGTTTAGGTGGAGGTTGAAATCGCCCATTATGAGCAGGTGTTCAGTGCAGAGGGACAGGGATGAGAGGAGCGAGGAGAGGCGTTGCGTCAGGAGAAAAGGAAGTGTTATAATAATTCTTCCATTTGATAAAACACCTTATGCCTAAGAGACATCTCAATGAGCTTCACGGTATATACTGTAAAGTGGATTGATTATTTTTTGTGGGCGAAATGCGGCAGTTGCACCCAGAAGTGTCCCACAAACAACTATGGAGTGAACAAACAATTTTTTTGTTTGGGGTATTGTTGGCCAGAACACCGGGAAAACTGCCTTCTCTTTTCGAATACTTAAACTGAAGTCTCATCTGCCTGTTCAGGTTGAACATCTCATCCGAAGGACAGCACCTCCGACAATGCAACCTCCCCTCCCCACCCCCAGCACTGCATTGGAGTGTCATCTTAGACGATGATTCCAAATCCTGACGTGGGGCTTGAACCTATAACCCTCTGTCTCAGAGACGAGGGTGCTGCCACTACGCATGCTGATTCATCATGCAAAGTTTTACACGAAAATAAATTTAGCTGAATTTTTGCCATTTAGCATTTGATAAATGTTTGAACATAACTATTTTTCTAGTAAGCATAATAAATTGTTAATCTCTGAGAGTTTTTTTTATTTTCATCCTTTTTTAGAATATGGTGCTGGCAGAAAATAGTCCTGGCAGAGATAGTGGTGAATATATTCTGGTATTTGAACCAATTGTTTCAACAAAAGCCAAGAAGTACTCTTTGCCACCATACATTTTACCTTTTATGTTTTACAACGGTGAGTATAACAATTTCTTTGTTCTGCTTATTAATTACGCTGTGTAACTAAGCAAGGTATGTTTAGTTGATGCATACAGCATTGTACAAGTTTTTCAGTGTAGTATGAAAATCAGCCAGCAGAATCGCTCTCTAGAGGTTGTAAAACCTTGAAAGCCTCACAATTCTAGAGAGAGCCTTTTTCTCAGGTGCCCCAAAGGTTGGCATTTTCAAAACAGCATTTGGGTTATGGAGAGGGAGAAAGAAAGCCTTTTTTGCGTTAAATTGTGGCATCTCAGCTGTGGGGTTGGGGAGAATCTGGATCATTATTTAAAGAGAGTATATAATCTCAGAATCTTTCAAGAACGGTTACAAATCTTACTAGGCCTTCAATGGGGGAAAAAACTTCAGTTTGACCAAGGTTAATTTGTGTTTTTGCATTATCCACATCCTAATTAGTTCAAAGATGTAAAATGTATCTTGCTTTAAATATGCACTCAGTGTCCTGGTCCCAGAACTGGAATAAACCCCAACCACCCTCTGGGTGATTATCCTCCTAGGGGATGGTGGAGAGGAAAGTGGGGTCTCCTTGGAGCTAAACTTGTCCTGGCTGGACAAGCAGCAGGAAAGTTTGCCAGACAATGCTTTTATTGACAACCTATGTGATTTTTATTGACAAACTATGTGATTTTAGCTGGTTAGATTCCAGCAGATCCCCAATGCAGACTCTGGGGTCCCCAAGCCTTGGTTCTTACCAACCTATGTCTAATACTCAACAGAATTGGATAAGCAAAATGCATCCCTCCAGTGAGAGTGCACATTCCAGTCCAATAAATGTCTCAACAATTTTTACGTATAGATGGTTATGCATAGAACTTTCAGTTTAGGTTGGATAAGTGTGGTGATGGGTTTTTGCATGTGTCAGACTCCTGGCTGGCCAAAATTACATAAAATTCTGCTGAAGTGCCACAGGTTAACACACCCTCACTTGATATGATTGAACTGGATAACTGTGTTTGGTCTTATTTCTTTTAACAGATTTTAAGAAACAACAGCAGATGGCAACCTTGACCAAAGAAAAGGACCAGCTATCTCAGTCCATTGTTGCATACAGGAGTTTGTTTGATACGACCAACCAACTCATCAGTGAGATGAAATGTAAGTTAAATTCTGAATCTGACTATCTATAGCTATGTGCAATTCTGTACACAAGGAAGAAATTTGTTGCTGTGTATTATTGACCATGTCCATTGCAACAGCTTGGTAACTTCGTATGGCAGATATTCTATGGAGGTATGTAAAACTGTTTAGTGTCCACAGCTGAGAAAGATTTGATAACTGAAAGGAGGAGGGGAATTGACATCTTATTACTTGATTTACATTAGAATACATTAGAATATAGAGAAACAGGCTATACAGCCCAACTGGTCTATACCAGGGTTTAGACACATGAGACGCCTCCTGCCCTTCCTCAACTAAGCCTTCATTTATAATGTTAATAATTTAAACATCAGTAAACTACTATTTATCAGTAATAAACTTTGTTAAAAACTCATTTACTGGTGTCAAATTAGGGCATCTTTCAAAGGTAGAATCCATATTAGCTTTCAAAAGGAGTAGCTGGCTGTTTTTCTCCTCCCAAATCCTGGGAAACCTGGGTTCAATTTACCCTCCTCGGGTAGTCCTCACTAACAAACTCATCGTGGTCTGTAAGTTGTAGCTGTATCCACTACACCAGGGACGGCCAACTTACAGCCTGTAGGCTTTATTATTCATGTTGAAAATAGTCATATTGGCCATCCCTGCACTACTACAGTGGGGTTGCCCCCTTTCATAACATCTTTATCCTACAGCTTTATTCAATTTAACTATCTAAATAAAAATTTAGGTCCTACCATTTATCAATGCATTTAGATTCTTGGATCTACTTGCAACATACTTGTGCCCCTGTTTCATTTTTAATTCAGAAGCAGTTTAAATTAGATTGTGTCTGCCAGGTTTTCCAATAGGTTATTAAAAGTAACTATAAACTTAAAAGTTAAATGGTGGGACTTAAAATAATTGGAACATTCGATCCAGTTCAATGGGCATGTGTCCACAGCACAAAACCAACTAGTGTTGTTTCACTGAATAAACAAAAGGATGATAAATGTGGAATCTCAAAATATCTTACTGGAGCAAAGGAAGATACTATGAGGTTGGAGATGAGATGCTTAAATAAAATTGTGGCTTACTGATGAAAGCATTTTGTAGAAAACATTAACCTCTTTCTCCTTCAAATGCTTATTGACATACTGTAGATTTCTAGCTTTTCTGTTTGTTTGTGAAAAGTTGATGTATTTTTCACAGCCAACATTGTTTTAAAGAAACAAAAACAGAAGTCGCTGGGAACACTCAGCAGGTCAGGCAGCATCTGTGAGAAAGGAAAGTGAGTCAATGTTTCGGATCCACGACCCTTCGTCAGAACTTCTGTTTTTGTTTTAGATTTCCAGCATCTGCAGTATTTTGCATTTTGTTTTAAAGAAATTTTATTTTCTTTCTGTTTGTATTTCTTTGATTTTCTTATTTCTTCATTGTTTTTCTCTTATGCTGTTGGTGGACATGCTAATCAATCTCCCAATGAACCTTGTATTTCTCTACTCCAAGCTCAATACAACAGCGTTTCTTTTTCCTCAATCTCCAGGTGACTTAATCCAAGCAATTGCTACCTCATGAAGGTTGCAAATTAAAATGCATTTATCTTATAGGTTATTAAAAGTTAAAATATCTTATTTGAAAATCTTTGCTTAAAGTATGCAGATTGAATTTTAAAGGTGGCTTTGATATTTGTTTTCATATAAATTGGTGCCACATGATATAACAAGTAAGATTCATAACTTAACCTTGTCCTTCACGGTGGATTTAGAAGTAAATGATGAATAGTATTTGAAATGTACACTTGTTTAGGTCAAGCACAAGAGGCTGAAGAAAAGGAATTTCACCTAAGAAATGAACTTCAAAAACAGAAGGTCAAGTTTTCAGAGATCAACACTGTAAGTCTACTTTTATGTGAATTTTGAGGTTTGTCGTGCATCATGCTCAGTCTATTTAAAACAGAATTGGAGATGCTTGGTAAATCTACCTCTATAAAATCTAAACCTTGGTGAACCAGTTCAAAGGTGATGATGGTGGAAAGCGAAAGCACAGGGAATAACAAAGTAGGTAAAACTGCATAATATCAAAAATATAGTACCATGGTGAGGTTTGGAAAGATATGTGCAAATGGTACACCATAAATGTTTACAAATATATTTTGTTGAGCGAGTTTATTTTTTATATGCTGTTACTATTGGTTCACAGTGTGATATTAGCAGAAATACAGTGGTATAGCTTTTAACAACATTCTATTTCACTTGTTAAAGATGTTGATTTTTTTCCCATAGAATTGTTTTGGTGAATTGCACCTTATTTTTGCTTTTACAATTCAGCTCCAAGGTATTGACGCAGTTCTGAAACTGATGATGGAGGACCGAGAGGTGATGATTAAAAATCCCAGAAGAACATGTTCTCTCCCTAATTATCCAAGGGGTAATCATGACATTTTAGGCAAGGTATGATCTGTATGTGTGAGAATCCAATTGCAATAAATTGTGCAACTGTTGTGAAAGCAGGCAAGCCATCAGACTGTTGCAATGAAACCATCTTGCACGTCTATATGCCTGTTTTTACAGCAGTAGTGTTTTTGCCTATTCATTGCCAATTTATAGGGGACAAACCTTGATTAGTAGTGTATCAATTTCAAAATTTCGCCCACAATTGCAGCCAATTCTCTTTACCATATATTCTAGACTGAGACTGATAGATTTTTTAAAAAAAAGAGGGATTAGGGGATATGGGGCTGGAGCTGGTAATTAGAGTTAGGTCAGAAGATCAGCCATGATCTTATCGAATGGCAGGGCAGGCTCGAGGGGGCGAATGGCCGAATGGCCTGCTCCTAATTCTTATATTCTTATGTTCTATGAAGCATTTTGAGATATCTCAATGACGTGATGAAGGCGCTATATAAATGTAAGGATTATTATTATTAAGTGCTGGAAATCCTGGTTAAGGAAATTCTGGAATGTGATCATTTATTTTGCGATGTTTTATCACTATTCTGTAATCAGAACCTGATCAGCAGCTATCTGGCACTATCTAATGGCCTGTTTCCATGCTATAAATTTTATGTAAACTATTCTTATCGAATGGTAGAGAGGCCAGGCTGGAAGAATGAGATGAAATGGACTACAGAACTTTCTTTATACATTCTTTTCTGTGATCTTGTGAGAATATTTTTATTTGTTCTTTAACTTCATTAGACTGAGAAAATAGAATTGGGAATGAAATAACATTTCTAAAATGGAGTGAAAATTACAAGGATAGAGTTATTATTTAGGAGCTAAGAACTGCCAAATGTTTTGGAAGGGGAGAGAGAAAGAAGGGAAATGCCTCAGCCTCTCTGCCAAAAGTACCAAAGTCACGGCTTCTGTGCCAAGTTGCAGCCCTATTCAGTAATGGGTTCTGTGCCAGGTTGCAGCACTATTCGTGACCAATTGTAATGCTGGGTATTTAGAGGAGAGTAATAGTATGAGAGCTTTTGTTATTCTGTCTTTCCAATTTGTTATTTTCCATATAACTAATTTGTATGGTTAGTCATTTTATTTGCATTTGACATAGCGTCTTATCATGTCGTTGAGACATCTCAAGCACTTCACAGTATATACTTTAAAATGATGTGAATGTGTATTTTGTGGGCTAATGCGGCATCTAATTTGCACACAGCAGTGTCCCACTTTCAATCATTGGAGTGAGTTACCAATTTTATTTAGGGGATTGTTAGCCAGGGTATCGGGAGAAACTCTTTTCGATTTCTGTTATGTCTACTTTCTACTAAAACTTTCTTTTCTATTTACATTGCTTGGGTCATGATAATGAAGTAACCTAATGTTGGAGGATGGAAAGAGAGGAGAGGATGTCGAAAAGGGAAGATAGGGTGCCAGAAAGGAAATCTTCATGATTGTGTCAATTGTTCTTAAATAGCAGTGCCCTTGGGTTTCCCCTAAGTTTAACTTCTGGTATGAACTGTTTCCATCTGTTTTCAGTTCTACTACTGCCAGTTTTGCTTTACAGAATGTAAACTTTTATGGAAACATTTTCGCAGTTTTCCTGGTGGGAAGGTGTATAACCTGAGAGGTCACTGGTTTGATCCACAGTCTTTACTCAGTAAGCTGATTTTAGCCAGGACAGCACTCAGCATGCTACAGTTGCCCATTGTGATCCTGGGTAGGGAAGGGAAAATCAGAATGGGCTCAAGCTCAGTTAACAGGTGCCCCTAAATAACCTAAAGGCTCTCATCTTCTGGACTCGTACAAAAATAATGACCACTCTGAGATACTCAAGCTGACCAGTACCCATGAAGATGTATCTATGTAAATAGACAAAGGTGTTCAATGCCTTAAGAAGAGAACACAGACATGATGGGCTGAATGGCCTTCTTCTGTGCTATAAAGTTCTATGGAGGGGAGAAAATTGGCAAGAAAAAGGTGTTGGCGTACAATTTTTTTAAAATATTGGGTTTGATTTTGTTTCACAGTAACTATTCAGGAGATGCATTGTTTTTTTTTTAAACACATGTATGAGACTTAGAAATAGCTGATCTGTAATTTAGCCATCTATGCCTTGCTTCCTTTTTCCATCTCCCCCACCTAAAAGGTTGTAAAATAGCAGGAGAAGTAGTTTCCATCTGAATTGATTAAACACAAATGTCTGCCTTATTAGTATTTTCATACAAAATGCAGTTACAAATTGTGAGTTGACCTATAACATTTCGGGGTCTTTATCCGTAAGAAAGTAGTTCTTTTGGCTAGTTTATCATGAGCATAATTTTTTTAAAAATCGAAATAATTAAAACCACAAGAATTTAAACTTGTCAGTATGTAGGAGGCAGTAATCTGAGATTCTTGTTCCCACATACTGACCACAGCTTAAATATTTGTTCCTTCCAATTCATTATTTCAGTCAAATTATCCATTGCACTGCTTTACCTCAGATATGTGGGTTTAAACAGAGGTTCGAATGATGAAATGAAAATCCTTATTCTCCCGATTGTATTAGTGTTCCACGTGCTGGCTGGCCATTCCCAACTCAGTTGAGCAGATTGAGAAAAAAATATCATTGGCGCTAAATGGACATCAGGGCTATAAGTGAAGCTTCTCCATATTGAGGGTGTATTTATTTAAAATGTTGTTGCAATCCCAAATGTAATTGTTGATTTTCCATCTGTTGATTAGGATTAATCTTTATGATAAACCAGTTTATTGATATTGCAGTAAATTGTTTAACCAAGATGAATATTTAATTACAGATTGCACACTTAACAATGATAAAGGATGACGAAGTAGCCAAAGTTATCTCTTGGCACATGGCTAGTGACATGGATTGTGTGATTACTCATACCACTAGTACTGCACGACGTATTTTCGATGAAAGCCAAGGGCGCCAACAAGTAATGCCCCTTGATTCGATATACAGAAAAAATCTTCCAGACTGGAACAGGTATGTATTCATAACCAAAACCTCATATCATCTATTGGATTTAAACATCTATTTGCAGCATTAGTTGTCAGGAAATGGTGGTTTACTGCATTTGTTGATTTTCAGAGCAAGAGTTAGGACTGAGATTAGCTTTTAAAGGTGTTAAATTCTAACATTTGAATTCTAGAAAGTAACCACTGATAAGCTGTTCAGTTTTAATTAGTGCAATATTAGCAGTACCCCAACTTTAATTTTTGCTACCAAATGATTTGGCTACGAGTGTATTTGGGCACAGGCAAGGGAGCATGTGTTTACCGCTCCAGAATGGTTGTATGCTAGCAAACAAGATCTTCTTCATTGAGTTCTGAATAGCTATAGCTGGAAGCATTAACCCCTTGAAAATGTTTCGATGTATGTCAGGCACCCAGCTGTTTGTCTTTTTTAAAAAAAGTTAGAATATAGTTTTGATGCTTTTTTTTAAATCAAATTTATTGAAGCTTATATTAAAGAGGCATTGTTGTGGTCATGAGAGAATTAGAATAGCCATGTGTTGTAACAATGTCTTACGCAAGTAATGTAATGCTTTTGAAGTATTTTGCATGAAATGTTTTGAAAACAAAACAGTTTGCCAAGCTCTCGAATAAAGGTTGTGTCCCGTTCAACATATAGCATATTGGAAATAGCTGTTGTGTTCTACAAAATGTAAAAAAAAATGCAGATTATTTTGCACCAGTTAATTATTATATTTTAAAATTAGCATTGATGTCATTATAATTGCTCTTAGTGGACCTATTCATAGCAACTGATTTCACTTGCAGGCCTTTACCTCATATGAGAAATGGAAAATGCCATTTCAACCCCTCCGGAAATCCTATATTTGCTCGGGACCTACTTATTTTTTCAGAAAACATAGATCACTGTCAAATAGGTAAGGTACTTATTTCCTAAGCATTTTTTTAAATTATCAAATGTAGTTAATGTGAAGTGAAATTAATATTCATTAAGTGTTTCGTTTATAAAATGTTATTAGTTATCTACTGGAACTTTGTTTTTTTGGTTGATGACAAGACGTTCCTTTTAAGGTAATTTATGCTGTTACCTTTTACAGTCTCAATTTGCCTTAGATGGAGAGGACTGGTGACTTGTTCAGTGCTTGTTCTTATGATTGCAAAATGGATCGATTTCAAGATCCTCACACTCGCATATAAATCACTTAATTCCCTGGCATCTCGCTACTTTCGCTCAACTGGCTTAAGCCCCTCCACTCTACTATCAGTGGTCGTGCCTTCAGCTACCGTGTCCGAACTCTCTACCTCAATCCTTCTACCGTGAGTGCTTGCCCATCTTCAGATCGCACCTGAAGATCTCACTCTTTGACTGTGCCTACAGCCACCTTCCCCCCACCCTTCCCCTCTCCCTGGCTTAGTGTCCAGCTCTGCCATTGTTATATAAATTCTTGATTATTTTGGTCTTTGTAATCCAGAAAACGAAGCTGATGGTTTTTGATCTTTATCCTTTCAAAAAAAAATTTTTAAACGCTGCCATAATAGTAGAGATAAGGTTGAGATCATGCAAACTAAAATAAAGAAGGGGAAAAAGCTTAACATTTCCCAAATGGTGATCACAGCTGCAATTACGAAATCTGCAGATTTGGCAATACTGACGTGAGAAATAATGAAACACACAAGCTTTCCAAGTCTGGTAAGATTCAAATAGAGTACATCCCTTCCCACCACGAGCACATGAAGAAAGAAATCACAAAATATGCTGGATTGGACCAAGTCTGACTACTCCAGGGAACAGAGTACGAAATGTAACAACATACAATTAAACCAACCCTTCATGGTCTTTAGATTGTAAACTATCAGCACAACAGTAAATTTTTACCATAAATCCTAAATTAAGCTTTTTGAGCAATGGTCTCCAAAGTCTGAATTGAACCAGATCCCGCAAATACACAGTCACATCACTTCACAGCATGTCCTGTGAAGCGCTTTGAGGTGTCTCAAGTCACCATATCATATGCAATTATTATATTATCCAAAGATACTCTTTTTCAAGCAGAAATAATAATTAAACTTCATTCTAAGCTATCCAAGTCTGAGGTATAAATGACTTTAATCTGGAAAAAATTACATTCGATTTGGAACATAATTTCATAAAAAAGATGGGCGCAGATTTTCTTAGAAACATTTGAATGGGATATTATAAAATAAAGTGTGAAAGGATGTGTCAGTTAAGTGACTTCTTATGGTTCTCATAGGGAAGCCCTATCAATTTTTCAGTAATCGGTTTGATGTTCCTAACATTTGTGACTCTGTCAGCCATTCCAGCACAAAGCCATAAAAAACAGAGAACACAAATTCGAATCCTGCTGTGTCCTAAGTTAGGTTGTCTCCATTTAGCGGTCTAAATAACTTAGCTTTAGTATTTTGACCAAAGGAGGACAAACATCAGGATGTTGCTTCTGCTACTTATGCACTGACTCCGAGAAAGTGAATGTGAGGACATTGTTTCCCATTGCACGTTGGAATTATATTAGTTCAACATTGTAGATTTCTATATTAGCATAAAAACATATTTGAGCTGCTTATTAATGAAATGAGTAGGTACTACAATTAATTTCCTTCCCTTCCACATGTGCTTCAACCAATAGATTGTGTGTAGGTCTATGGTACTCCTGTCTCAATTCTGAACATTTTCATGCATTGATATCTGAACAAAACAGATCAGAAAAAATGTTCTCAAACCATCAACTCTGTCCACTTTGCTGGAAGGATTAAGCCTCACGTTGTTTACCATTCCACAAATGCAGACAAGCTATTAAATTTAACTCTAAAGACAATTCTAGGAATATGAACCATCCAGCAATATGAATCTGCAACAACTGGAACAGATATGTAGTTAAGGTAGAATATTGATTTTGAGTCAGCTGATCAGATTCAGTGGCCTATAAATTAGCAAATTGGCTTAAAACATGGAATGTAGGTTTCAAGTCATTCATATTCCCAAATAATAAGTTCATGTCATTGATTTAAAGGGATAGGATTTTTGGGGGGTTGGCTGGGTGTCTGACGCATTGCAGGAACCCTTCATCATGCTTAGGAGTGTCCAGACCAAACCGAGTTCCCTGCATCCTGCCTACACACATGGAAATTTCAGAGATATTTGTTGGAATGCAATTTGCATTCTCTTCTCAGAGGGACTCATTCTGCTTACCTAATTCTGGAAAGTATTAGCTGTAGGTGGGCAAGAGCTAAGGCTTGGCGACCCCAGAGTATACTTTAGGGTACTGCTGGAGTCTAACCAGATAAAACCAAATAGCTTGCTATTGATATCACTGTCTGGCAAGCTTTCCTGCTGTCAAACTAGATCCACCCTACCCTTTAGGACTTTGGTTTGGAGGATTAACAGGAGCTGAGTGGGAGGATTCCCTGCACCCAGTGACTGGTCTGCCCTCTCAAGTCCTCAGATGAGCCACGCTGGCAGTGCTATCATCAGCAGTGCCCTGCAATACTGCGGACCCGCCTGTCCCGCATCAAACTTCGTACCCCAATTACTCCAGTCCTTGCCAAACTCCACTGGCTCCCTGTCATAGAGCGGATCGACTTCAAGATCCTCGCTCTAGTGTTTAAATCCCTCCATTTCTTGGCAGCCCTCTATCTCTCTAAACTCCTCTTTCCCCACGCTAAGTTAGCAGATGACACCAAGCTAATGAAGGTGGTAGATTGCGAAGCTGAACAAGATAGGTTACAGGAGGATTTGAACATACTTGGGAATTGGGCAGACTGGTGGCAGATGAAATTCCATGTGGAGAAATATAAAGTACTTCATGTGGGGACAAAAAGTCCTGGAAGGGAATATTATTTGAACGGAAGGAAAATAATATGTATGGCAAATGAAAAGGACCCGTGGGTCCCGATTGACAATAAATTGAAGCTCTCCCAACAGTGTTCTGTCAGTGAGGAAAGCAAACCAGATGATGGGATGTATCAAAAGATCAATAGAAAGCCGAAATAGTGGGGTAATCCTGCCACTGTATAAAATATTGGTGAGACTGTACTGTGTACAGTTCTGGTTTCCGCAGTACAAAAAGGATATGGGAAAAATCAAGAGAATACAGAGGAGGGCAACCAGAATGATTGAGGGAATGGAGGAACTGAACTATGAGGAGCAACTAAGTAAACTGAGCTTGTTCACGCTGGAAAAGAGAAGATTAAGAGGTGATATGATTGCTGTCTGTAATATTCTAAAGGGGCAAGATAATGTATATCGCAACAGCGCGTTTCAACTAGTGCAGAATAGTAAAACTGTAGGACACGGCCTGCAATTGAAGGGGTAAATTCGGAACAAATCTACGACAACACTATTTCAGTGAGCGAATAGTAAACCTGTAGAACAGACTCCCTAGGGAGACAGTTGAAGCACGAAATGTTGATTCCTTCAAACACAGATTAGATAGCTTTCTTTTAAGAAATAAGATTACGAGATATAGTAATAATAATAATCCTTACAGTTAATATAGCACTTTATCACGTCTTCAAGACGTCTCAAAGTGCTTCACAGAATATACTGTAAAGTGAATTGACTGTATATTTTGTGGCCGAACTACCAGATTAGTACATAGATAGTTTGGGACATATGTGCATGCACCACCCACCCCCCAGAAGGTGGAAGGCGAACTAGATGGACCTTGGTTTTCTTTTCATCTAGCATTTCTTATGTTTTTATGTTATTTACGTTGCTGTTTTACATTATGAAAATTTGTTTTACAGTATTCGGGCTGCTTCTCGGAGATACAATTATTCTGGACAACTTAAATGCTGCTAATCAGTATCGAAAAGAGGTACGTACCAAGTTTGTAACATTTCCGCGTTCATTTCTAATTGACTACATTCCTCCTATGTAGTATTTTGCAATAGCTGGGAATCTGTTGGGTGGAATTTAAGCTGTTTTGCTTGAAAACTATTGAGACTTTTGAAAATGTCTTTGTAGAGTTTATTTAACTGCTTATGGTTGAAGATAGTGATGCTGCTTTTTAACCTTCAGGAACTTTTTAATCAAATTTAGGTTGTGAAAATCACACACTGCCCTACCTTGCTAACTAGAGAAGGAGACCGAATCCGAAGCAATGGGAAGTTTGGAGGCCTTCAAAACAAAGCTCCTCCAATGGAAAAACTCAGAGGAATGGTGTTCGGCGCTCCTCTCCCAGAGGCATACCATTCATTGAATTCACAAATAGGTTTGTATATAATTAAATTGGCAAGGATGTAAGATGTAAACGACTTTGTTACTAATGATGCTCAAAATATTGTCCTCGTCTCCATTTTCTTTAACTCTTACCACCGAAGTATCTCTTTTAAAACGTCTAACAACAACTTGGATTTCTATAACCCCCTTTTTGCAGGGTAGAGTCTTGCTTAACTGGCTCTAATTTTAAGATTTGAGATCCCTTTACAAAAGGGAAGAGTGATGCCTAGCCCACAAATCTTACTGTGCAATAGATGTCATACAGTACAGTATCAATAAAAAAAATCTGGAATCATGAGAAGATACAGTGAAACTGAGTAAAACAGTTTAACAGTACTTACTTAAAACAATTTTAATCTGGTTCTATTGATAGGTATAGTGATAACATTATTATTCAAAATAATCGTCTTACAATTTGCTGTTATCTAGCTGAGTTGTAGATTGGGTTTAAATTGGGTTTGAGGAAAATGGAGGATATAAAGATTGAACACTTAAGATTTAAAAGTTTTTTTTCCCACCCAAAATATCTTGGTTGAAGTCAGAATCTTGCTCCTTCACCTTTTTGTACTTTTGAATGACTACTTATGTCCTTTTTTATATCTTTAAAAAAAATCTGAACAAATAAATCTTAGAATGGCAAATTTAGATATGTTTGAATTGAATATTTTGGTTCAGTTTTAGAAAATGACATCTAAGATCATCCATAAATGCATATTTTGGATAGACAGCCGGATCATGTATGAGTGTATACCAACTTAATAAAAGGTACTAATGCAGTTTAGTGAAACGGTCAGTCTTCGTAAGTGGGTCCTAATCATTTGACTTTGTACAAGCAGCCCTCATTTCAACCTCGTTGGTGCCAATGAAAGGCAAGGTGCTTCCAACTCTACAAGAGGGAGAGCAGTCCAAATACATTGGACTGTTGTCATGTATCTTACAGCATTTAGTTATAGGGCAGCATTATCTGAAGCCTGAAAATAAGAATCCAATTTGTTCTTTCATCTGGGGAAGAAGGTTGTACATTCTGTAAATATTTTCATTAAACATCTTAAACGTAGACATTATGTCAACTATGCATTTTTCTGGAGCTTGTTCATAGTTCTAGATACAACTTCACTGGAAGCTGTGCTTTTCTGTAGCTTCAATGTTAACAGCTGGTAGCAGGGAAACACTCCCAAATTGCCAATTTAAAACTGTATTTACCCTTACAGTGCCAATAAAACAGCCATGTAAACTTGCTACTATTGTTGATTTGGAACAATTTTTTGGAACATTGGCTGAAATAGTTCTGCAAGCTGGAAGAGGAAGATAGTTTCCGTTTCCAGTCTCAAAAAATTACACAATAAAAAACATTCAGTGTTTTTTTTAAATGTGGCCTCAAATTCTGGATATACATACTGACTTATTTCTCTTGCACGTGCAATGAGGTGAATGGGGTGAGTCAGAAGTCAATCTGCTTGAACAGTGACCATGTCTTCAAGATCCTTTAATGGGAAGTTTCGGATGAGGAGAAATATTTTCCTTCTGTTCTCACATTTAAAAAATGCTTCTATAAAACCATAATGCATTGTGCTGACTCATATTGTACACATTTGCAATGATTTCCAAAAAACTATAAACAAGTCAGCATTAACATGCGATGAAATGTTTTAAAAGTGTTTATTCTATAATGTTTAAACTGAAAATATTTATTTCACTATATAAAGGGAAAATCTAAGTGCAAACTCGCATTCTATTATTTTTGGCAGTGTTGGTACACTGATGCATTTTGTCTTGGGGGCACTATACAACATATCCCAGTAGCTTGCTTAAAGATTGACCTGTGAACACATTCAAAGGAGGGACATATTAATCATATAATAACTTTAGTCTTCTTTGTACATCTAGAATATTGTTTTATTAGTGAATCTTACCTTATTTATTACAGTAGATCTCACATAAGCTGCAACTTTATAAATCATATAATCACCTACATTTTTTTGTTTTATGGTCAGTCGGGTGTCTGACACATGCTATATATATGTTATATATGCATCGTAGTCCCATTCAGTTTCCTATCAAAAATCACTTAGCATGAGTCTTATAAGCAAATCTCCTAACACATAACGCAGCTCCCATATCCTCCATTACTCCTGCTCTTATCAGTTGCATTGAATCATAGTAAATGGCACCCTGACCCGTCCGCACATGTTCTGAAGAACTTAATTTCTTGTAAATGCATATGTGGCAACTGGTCAAGACTCATTGAATCGTGGGAAACATAATTTTGACCAGGTCACCACATGTGTATCTCCCGGCTGCATTGAATTACATATGCGCATTGTAGATTATTGATTAAATCAGATTTTACACGAATTATACAAGTGTGCCTGTAACTTGGACTTTGCTTAAATCCTATTAAATATTATGGTCCTGACTGATGAGACTTATCTGAATTTTACTGAAGTAATTTTACCTGTTTTACAGAACTTATCCAACAGTATCACTCTGCTATGATCAAGCTTACTAATGTCAAAGAAGAACTAGAGCTACAACTTAAGTACATTAGTTCACCAGAAATGAACCTAAAGCACAAGGAACTGAATGACCAAGAGAATCAGCTCAAACAAATTGAGCAGAAAATAGGCAAGTTATCAGTTTCCTAATCACATCCTATTCTTTAGCTGCAGGATTGCAGTGTTTGATGTTAATTTCATCTGGCCCATCTGTGGGTGAGTATTCAGCCATTCTTCCCCCACTCTCTGGAACTCCTTCCTGGAGTCCCTCCCTCAATGTTCAATGGCTGCCTCAAGACGTAACTGTTCCAGACTAGATGGGTGTTTGACATCTGACAAGCGCAGGTTTGAGCCCTCATTAAGTGGATGGAAGGTATCAGGAACTCCCTGCGAGCTTCCTAGTGGGTAACACAGCTCATCATGTCTTGCATGAGAGCATTGCCACCATCTTCGTGTCCGCAGCTTGGGCACATTCCTTCCCATTAAGCGATGCTTCCACCAGTTGGAGGTGCGGAGTTTAAGTAGTAGTTGCTTGCCTCTTTGCAAACCAATCAAAGTCGATTCCGAACGCCGATGTACAAACTTGTGTTCACAATTTGCCTTTAACAAATCCATGTTGGCAGTCCTTTATTAACCCATATTTTTCTGAAAATTTATTTTGTCCCCGATTATAGTCTCTAGAAGTTTCCCCAGCACTGACATTAGGCTGACTGGCCTGTAGTTCTCGGGTTTATCCTTCTGCCCCTTTTTGTACAGGGGAGTAACATTTCCAACCCTCCATTCCTCTGGCACCACTCCAGTGTCCAAGGAGGATTGAAAGATTGTGGCCAGAGCCTCCATTATTTCCACCCGAACTTCCCCCTCAGTAACCTAGGATGCATCCCGTCCAGACCGGGCGACTTATCTACCTTGAGCACCGTCAACCTTTTTAGTACCTCCTCTTGGTTTATTTGTAAAGCACTTTGAGCAATTTACCTTATGTAAAAGGTACTATATGTGTTTTGATTATAGGAATTATTTGTGAAAAATGTATTTGAATAATTACTATTCTCAGATAATATCACTTAAAAAATATCATCTGTCCCTAAAAACTTCATACTCACAAGTAGGAATTAATGACCAGCAAGGTTATCAGAGACATAATTGTGAATTGAAAAGGCCCATTTTTTAATCTTATTTTTTCAGAATCCCCTCTCTTCTCATCACAGCATCAAGCTATTTTATAAATGACTAGTGCCCTGGCTTTAACCACCTATCCTAGTAACCTGTTCCAGTTGTTAATTGCCCTCTGTTTCCCTTGCTTGTTGCTGCCTCGCAATAAATAAATAATCCTTGCATTTGATGTAGTGCTTTTCAAGTCTGCTAGACGTCTTTATCCTATCCATGGAATACATGTGTTTCTTATTCTTACTTCCTATAATCAGTACCTTGCAGAGACTGCATACTCTATTAAATACAAGCATTTTGATAATTTTTTAATCAATGTTTCACAGTCAACAAAGAACTACCATTAAATTTGCTGTTAAAAAAACTAGTAAATACTGTCATATCTAGAAATAGTTGCCACTGACAAAGTGTACTCATACCACATTAATAAACCAGTTTCAGAAAGGTGTCATGCTGGAAGCATAACTAATTCTACTTTAAAATTATTTAGATTTGTCTGACTGTTTAAATTGTTTTCTGGTGTAAATTAAAAGCAAAGACTATTGTAGATTGGCTAACATTTGCTGTTAAGTTGTTTCCTTCCATTATTTGCATGGTTCTACAAAATACTTTTTCTATGTCTTTCCTTTAGTGGCTTCTAGAGGAGAAGCATGCATGTAAATTTGTTGTAGCACTATTAATTTGGGACTCCCTCTCTAAATAGTACAATTTGAATTGCACTCTAATAAACCAATTTATTGTAATTATTAGAACTGTATTTAGCCAAACAGTGCTTCAGTTGTAACTGTTTCTTACTTTCTTTTGCCAATTTTTTTATAATTATTCTTTCTCCTGAAGGTGTGAATTTGTTATCGGAGTAAACATCCATGTGTGCAGAATGCACTCCAGTACTTAGTTCAAGTGGCCATTCTTCTATTGCTGAGACATTGAGTATTGACTGGGGGGGCTTCAAACCAACCTCCCTTCCAATCTACACAGACTTTGCAGCATAGATCAATGAATAGCAATAAGAAGTCCTGGTTTATTCTCCCCTCCCCTCACCCCCGGATCTGTAAAAATATGACCAGTCCCTTAATATTGCATCTGTTCTAGGTTTTCTAGTAATGGGGAATATTTTCCACTGTAATTAGTGGCCAACAAACCCCAATTCTATGAATATGGATTACATTTGTAATAGTGCTGTTGCTGTTTTTTTGTTACCCAGGTATGACTCCAACTGGACCACCTTCTGCACCCAAAGCAACAGCTCTGGATTTATCTGAAGGGCAGACACCAAGCAAAAGGATGAGAAGAGAAAGTGCAAAGAAAACATATAGGTTTGTTTTTAAAGTCATTATTTTTATTTGTCATTGCACGTGTCTGCTTTTATTTACAAACTTTTTTGAGCATATTAGCACAAATGCCAATAGATAATAAAAAAAAAGTTTTTTTTTCTAGCTCAGAGGAATGGGTTTCAGCACCTTTGAGGAAAACACAGCTCTATTCAGAATCTGGATCAGAAACAAATGGAAGTTCATCATCATTATCAAGGAAAAGAAAGGCTTAAAGCAAACAAGACAAGTTTTTATACGGATGGAAGTCATAAGCAATAGAAATGCTTTTCAGCTGAAATAATGTATATAGTTTGAGTTTCAGAGAAAATTGGGCAATGTACGAATGTTCTACAGAGATTTTTATCCGACAGTCATATTAAAGAAATCTGTCAGCAGATAATGTGTTCATTTGAAGTTATTTAAATTGAAAAGCTTAATTTTTTTATTCAACTTTGTACTTTTTATTTTTAAAACTTTTTGGATGTTTACAGATCTTTGTCAGAGTAAGAAATAAAGCCTCTGCAATTTAAATGGTTTATTTCCTTAAAAAAAAATGAAATCTTATTGTATTCTTTAATTGACTGGTATGCACATTTGACAGAACAGCCAACCATTTATACACTTATCATTGTTAAAATTTTCTGCCCTTAAATGTTCAGTTAGTTTGATTTACTGGTAATCTTAAAGAATTCTATTTTGCTTAATATTACTCAATGGTTAAAACTTCAACAGTGTATTCTTCTAATGCCTGGAAAGAATTTTAATTCACATGTTTCTGTAAGATCAAACTGAGCTATTGAAAACTTATCTCCAGCTTGTGAAGCCACAACTGGTGACTGAGGTTTCAGTGTGGATCATATGATAACGCTCTTGTCTGTCAAGTCAGAAATTGGAGAGTTCAAGCCCCACACCGGGATTTGAGCTCATAGTTTGACATTATGTGGCAGTACTGGTGGAGCTCAGTGGTTAGAGCATTCATCTTGCAAGTGAGAGACCTGGATTCGTTTCCTGGCAGGATAAAATGTTGGGCAAGTTTCCTTACTCCACACGCCTCTGTTTACCTAGCAGTAAGTAGGAACACGGTTGTCAGTCGATTTGTGGATCGCTTTTCCGGGGTAATAATTCCTTCAAAAAAAAATTGGTCACTTCAATCCACGACTGTTTGTGGGACACTGCTGTGCGCAATTGGCTGACGTGTTTCACCCCCAAAATAGACAGTCAATTTACTTTACAGTATATTCTGTGAAGTGCTTTGAGATGTCTTGAAGATGTGATAAGGCACTAAATTAAATGGAAGGATTATTATTACTAAATTTTCAGAGGTGCCATTCTTCAAATGAAGCATTAAACTAAGATCCCGTCCGCCTGCGCAAGTGGACATTAAAGATATGGCACTATTTGAAGAGGGAGTTTCTCCTGGTGTCCTGCCCAATACTTGAGATAAAATTTGTCTTAACTTCACAGCTGTTTGCAGAACATTGTTAACTTCAAACTGGATGCCACATTTGCCTACAACTAGAATTGCTACATCATCACAGTAAAAACCCTCCGAAGTGCTTTGAGATGTTTTGATGGAGTGCTAAAGCACTTTATCAAATGCAAGGAATAGTATAAAAAAGTTGCTGGGCTTCTTTGCAAATTCCGGACATTTGAAACTCAAGTGCTTCAGGTATGGCTGCCTTACAAAATAAAATGTACAAAATAATTCTTTCTATACAATAATCGTTGCATTTGACCTAGCACCTCATCCTGCAGTTGAGACGACTCAAAGCGCTACACAGAATTTTACTGTGAAATATAGCATGCATTTGTAGGTGAATGGCAACCAATTTGCAATGTCCCACAAACAGTCATGGAGTGGCTAATCAATTTTATTTGGGGGACTGTTACCCCGACATTGGGTACAATTTGGGGAACTTAATGCAGAAATCACATCATAAAAGTAACATCATAGAAGTGCTTCAGGCACAGCTGCCTTTTGTACAAAATAATTCCCTCTTTGAATAGTGTCTTGGGATCTTCAACATCAACCTGAAGAGTCAGATAGGCCCTTGGTCTTGATGTCTGAAGGACAGCTCCAACGTTACAGCACACTCCCAGCAGTGCACAAGATTGTCAGCCCAGAATGAATTCAAAGTCCTGAGATGAAGCATTCAGTACAATTCTGTATTTGAATTATCCAGATTTGTCACAAGATTTGCATTCTATCACAGAATTGAATTGCCAACATTTGGATATTAGTTTACAATCAATATTTCTTTCTGCTTCTCAATCATTCAGCGGAGCCTCATTTAAAAAAATATTAGCTTAAAGTATGGAAAAACTGAATATTTCCTCCTGTAAAGTCTACAGATACAAACATTTATGGTCTAACCGAGAGTGGAATCTACTCTACATGCTTTACTTACTGAATGATGTTCAGCAAAATTTTTCCTTATAGTCCACAAAGGCAATCAAGCAAAGTTCCACAGTATCTATCCATTTGGTAGTTCTATCCAGTTGCCCTTCCAGCTTGACTCGCCTTTTTTTCATTTCTTAATCATTTTCTGATGTTTTTGTCAAGATCTTCTTATGTATATTTAACTGCTGACTATTTCTCCTTTTTGGGCAGTGGATTTTGAGAATTAATAGCACCTTCAAGAATTAAAGACCAGATGGCCATTTCCTCCATAATCGGGATTATAGAAATTGGGAGTACTGGAGGAAGATGTTTGTTTGGCTCATTGAACCTAATGATACTTGGTCATCCACTGGACAAGGCCTTCCATATTCTGATAGCCTTCTGGTTAAATAATTCTTCAACCTCCCGCTGAACTGTACTAGCATCAATCCTGAGTTTTTGCCCTCTTGTTATCAATTTACCAAGCAACCGGAGTAATCTCACTATCCTTCCAAAACATTTGAATTCACAAGAGCTCTACTAGATTTCCTCTCAACCTCTCGTAGAAGAAACTGATCCAATTTGGCATATATCTTAATATAAACTCCTCACTCCTCATAACTTCTATGATGTCATTTCTATGATGTGACTTCTGCATTAAGCTCCCAAAATTGTACTTGGTATTGTATCTTCCTCGTTCCAATTCTCTGTTCCTTAGCATCATTAAGAACTTTGTTATTTGGGGTATGCTTTTTTTCCTGTTTCCCAAAATATCTTCACATTTCTCAAAATTAAGCTGCTTTCTGCCCAGCAGACTTACAGCATTCAGCAGTTTGCTATCACTTTAATTTGGTATTAACAAACTTACTTATTGTACCCCCAAGCTAATTTCTAAAATATTAATAATAAACATCCACTGACTCAACACACATTCTACCCAGGATCATCTTGTTTTGTATAATTCAGTAAATTTGTGTCAATATTCCACAAACAGCAATGGGATGAATGAACAAATAGATACTTTTGCGTTTAAGTAAATGAGGACCATTGGCCAGGCCAGTGAGAGAACTCGAGCTTCTCCAGGGGAGTACTGAGAGCTTTAATATGCACCTGGACCATTACAGCAGGTAGTATCTCGTACAAAAGATGGCAACTCCAACAGTGCAGTACTCCCTCTGTAGTGCACTGGAGTATCAGTCTAGGGTATGACCTCAACCTTTTAACCCAGATGTGGAAATGCTATCAGTTGAATCAGACAGATAAAGTGAATTGACGTTTGCCAGTAGGCCCCTTAATTATTGAAGTTTATCTGTAACTGGTGTTTCATTTATGCTAGATTATTTTTCAGTATCGCTGGATCCACAATTCATTTATGAAGAATGTATTTGCCATTCCCTTATCCACTGTAAAATTCTTAACTCATCTTCAAAGGCCCTGTCTCCATACACGCCATACAATAATGTAGTTGAAAAATATTGTATGCAATGCATATTTTCTTTATCCACTATCCACTTTTCTATTGTCATTCACAAGTTTTTATTTATCCCCCATTCTCCACTAGCTCATTTGTAGACCCATAAATCTGATCACATTCTTCCCATCCAATGACAGTTAATATTTCATTGCCAGATAACATAACTCACTTCTCACTTTCTCACTTGAGGCATCATTGCTTTTGTTTAATCATGATCCACGTAGCACATATCCTCATCTAAACTTTTCCACATAAAAGCCATCAGTAGTTCCTGTCTTGTTTAATCCGATTGTATGCTTCAACCAGCATTAATTTTAAATTCTTCCAAATGCATACATCTGGGGCTAATTTCTGTTAATTACTTATATATAGCAAGAGTTAATGCCGAGACCTCTAATTTGCCTCTTTCTTGCATATCAGCATTTGTGTAGTCTTTGAACTGCAATTTTTCTTTTCAAATTTATTACGAATTTTGTCCATTTCTTCTAAATAAGTGGAAATACACTTTATAGAATTTTATTAGTAAATCTTGTTTAACTTCGTCTGCCAGTCCTTTTATCTCCCCTGCGAAATCCCTGGTTACATCTGTTCTGTATCTTTTATTATTGCTGTAACTGCTCTGTTTAATATACTCATCTGTTCTGATACTGTTCAAAAGATCCTTTAAAATTGGCCTGTCTATCTTCTTGCAAATCTTGCACTTTTAGATTGATCACGACTTTGTGGAGAAGGTTGTTAGTATAAGCAACAGTTTGCTCATTGGAAGCTGAATGTGTGATCAGTTTCAAGGGGAAATTGAATGGCCTTTTGGCATTGAAAAGCATGTGAGAAAAGGAGAATTGATAGAATGAAGAACTCAAAATCTAGAGTAAATGGGACCAGCTACAACAATGCTAGGCAATTCCTCTCCTTTCATAGTGACTCTATTTTTGACTGTCTATGTCACTTTCTCTGATTATATCTGACCTTTCTTCACACTATGTATGTATGTATGTGTGTGTGTGTGTGTGTGTATGTATGTATGTATGTGTTTCTGTAACTTTGTATCTGAAAACAATTTCTCAATGGTGCTGCTAGTAACAGTAGTCACTGGTCAAAATGCATGTATGCATTTAATTCAAAATTGCATTGGCATTACCTCCGAGATTACAACCTGTTACATATAAGCAGACAAGTTCTTATTCAGCGTGCAGCTATATAGTGCTCTACTGTATTTGAAAAGGAAACCGGACACATGGATTATAAAGGTCCCTTCCAATGCTGCATATTGTTTTTGCAATACTGTATTATTTTTAATTGCTTCACAACGTTATATGGAAATTGAAAGTGACATACCTACTTTACTGCCATTCCATGCCTCTGAACTGTAATGTGATTCCATTCATTGTATGCTTATGCCCCACATTTTTTCTGTCATACTCTATCTTTATCAACGATAAATTGTATGTCTGCCCAATTCAATAACCAATCCAAATCCAGTTGCAAATCTTTTGCTGTTTCCTCTGCTTCAAATGCTTACTTCAATTTTTGTGTCAGCAAATTT